TATATATATATATATATATATATATATATAATATATAATATTATAGATATTTGTCAAATAAAAATATGATCTTTTAATGTACGATTTCAATATACACACAAATCAATTATTATTTTTCTATAAAAACGCCACTTATGTTTGTGTTTGATCAATGTATGCAGATATATTTAATAAAAATGTAACTTACAAAATATTTTTTTAGAGCGCTACTGTATATCTTTAGGAAGTTTTATATAATTCTAGTAATAATTAAATAAACAATTTTAAAATATATAGCGTTTTATTTAATTTAAGTACATTTGATTCTTTTCATATGAATATTTGCTTATGTATATTCATTATTAAAACCTAGCGATTCATGATCTTAACTCATTCAATATCCTAATTAATGCTAAATATTCGTAAAATGTTCCAGAATTCCGAAATAACATGCATGCTTTTCTAGAGTATATATTACGGAATATATTAAAATATTTACAGAATATAAGAGTAACATTCAAATAATCATTAAATATTCTTTTCATACATTGATACATATTCGAAAAATGTTACATATATGTATATACCGCAAAATTATAATTTTCTAAAAAATTATGGTTTAGACATCCTCCGAAGATCTTGTGTACCATCAAAAATACATTTTATTATATTTATTCTTTTTACTATAAAAAAAAACTCTTTTATTTAATTGGATTCAATTGGATTTAACTGAATTTATTTAAATTTAAAAACTGCATCTCTTTTCTTCAGAATTTTGGATCGAGTAATATACATGAGTCACTAAAAAACTTAATATTATTTTTATATCAAAAAGCATAGAAATGTGCTTCACACACACACACACACACACACACACACACACACACACACACACACACATATACAATTCCCATAAATGAATACTAACTTTTAAATTAACCAATAGTTTTTTGAACATGGCCGGAGACACTACCGCGTCTCCTGAAAAATGTATTTGGATTCAAAAAGATTTATTATAATATTTGCGAAAATGTGTATTTTTGAAAATTTAAATTTATTTCTATTTATCTTCGTTTACTGCGCCAAATATCGTGCCTTATTAATTTGTGATTTCACGTCTTCTTTCAGATTTTTATTGTTGGTGATGTCAATTTCTAGATACTTCAATTTCATCGTCTGCTCAATACTTTAGTTATCAACTGCGAGTTCGCATCTTCTTGATTCTTTAGAGATTGTGAGTGACTCCGTCCTTTGAATACAGATTATCATATTAAATTGTTTAACGGTGAGTTTAAACTTATGCAGCAATTTTTGCAGGTTATCCTTGTCCTCCAATATTAGAATTATGTTGTCGGTATAGCGCCTACAAGAATTTAGAAAATAATTATGTGCTCTCTAAATCTGAATTGGTGAATAAATAATCACTGATATTAGTAATCAATGAATGCTATGTGGAATCCCTAATCCAAATAATCTTGTTTTAGTGTAAAAATTTAACATATGTATATATATCAAAAATTTAAACTTTTTTTTCTCTAATAATAATATATTATCACGAAAAGTAACTGATATATTATTAATTAAAAGTGCCAGTTTAAAGTGAACATACATAAAGTGTATGCAACTTTCGGCCGATTTTCGAATCGCCTTTCGCTGTTCCCCTCACCTCACCGCCCCGCGCGCAGACCAAATGCCATTTGAACGTTGGCACTTAATTAATACTTAATATATCAGTTACTTTTCGTGGTAATTATTATTATTAGATAAAAAGGTTTAAATTTTTTGAACATATATGGCTTGACCTTTCATTTTTATGATATGGTTTTTTTCGGATATCACTTACTGGGGGGAGAGGGTGCGGTGAGTCGAAGTTGGCGGAGGTGTGAGTGAAAGATGAGACAGGAGAGAGGTGCATATGACTGCGGATAGAGAAGGAGAAGAAAGAGAAGGAGAAGGAGACGTTACTTCATTTCTAGTGAAAATCGTTACTTTTCAACCACTTGTATGTCGAGAACGGCTTAATCGACTTTAAATTTTTTTTAGCTCAAATTACTCGTGGCGATGCCGCCTTTCAGGATATATAACGTTCGATTCAAAATTTTTTATATTTTAGTAGTTATGCACCCCCGAAAAATAAACTTTGCTCGGGATAAGAGATTGTAGTGTCTTTCAGTTTTTGAACATAACCGGACCTACTACCATGTCTCCTGATGGTATTGGATATTCTTAGACAATGGATGGAAGATTGGAACTGATATGCATATAATATTTTTTTTCTTTACGTTAAATTCACTAATTATTCAGTGCTAAGTATACATTAGATAATCAGTTATTACCCAGTGGTATA